GTTAGGCAAATCAGAATACATTCGGGATACTGGGTGTGAATGCATCGTGATTTACTAAGACATAGTTTGAAAACTTGCTCACCAATCTTCCGAATGTTGGATTTTTTCCCAATGTTTCTTGATTTGGTGGAGTTTACTGCTTCATACGTTGTTCCTTATTTGAACTCTGCCATTGAAAATGTGCAGGATAATTGAACTAGATGTCGAACAGCAGTTAATTTTCTTTAGACTGTTTCCTTTAGACTTTTTTCTTTAAACTTTTTTTTCTTTTGGACTTTGTTAACGACAAAGAGAAACATTAACAACAGAGGTCATGAAAGAGCTTCTATGGCTGTCATGACACAAGCACTTGGTACCAGGTGAAGGTAAAGGATCCTCGAAGCATTTGATATCGTAATTTGTTTCTCAGATGGGATAAATGAAAGCAAATAAGCAGAGTTGAACTAGCTAACAGGGGGAGACCATTATACCATCGGTTTCACGATTGAAATTCTACGAATTGTGACAAATTCATAATTCATCGCTAACCCGCCAACCCGCCAACTGGCGATTTCTAAAATTCTGTTAGAACAAAATTTGATTTTCTCATTATGCATAATAGTTAGTAATTACAGTGCATTTTTTTCAATATTGAAATTTTTGCGGTCGTTCTCACGTAGTGCCTTTGGCTTGCATTGTTGGCTGCCGTGTCTGACATCACTGCACTGCTTGCGCACTGCTATAGTGATTTTGATCATGGATTCTCCATGGACAAATCACGTGATCAGTGTGTTTACTTTTTTCACTTTTTGCCTGCTACGAGTCCGGTACAAGTCAGAAAGGATTGATAGAATTGAACGGATTGAACTTACAGGCGTGATAGAGCTATCCCAGTATTTCTTAATAAATGAGTATTCTCAATTAAGGAACCTTATTATGGGGGTCCGTTGTGAGGACAAGATGCGGAACAGCGAGAGAAAAGGACGCTTCGGTGTCCCAAACAGAATGATCGGATTACTTCGAGGACGTGGGGTGTTTTAATTCCATGTTCTCAGAGATACATCACTTCGAACGAAAGAAGTGGTGTTGGCGTGGATCCGTGGGCCGGGAGTTAGGCCGACTCCTGGAGGCCCGACCGCACGTGCCTCCACGACGAGTAATCTGGGTGTTGGCCCGCGATGATAATGCTTTTGTCGAACATTGGGGTTGAGTTGGGGTGGGCACAGGTGGGTGAGAATAAGTCTCCGGATACCTGTGTCGCATGTGCCTCTCAGTGTTCGGCGCTCCGAGGAGTGAGAAGGATTCGCAGGTAATGGTCGACTTCGCCAGAGTTGAGCAACTCTGGGGAGGAAAGGAATACGTCAGAGGAATGGAAATATCCTCGGCGAAAGATACATGGAGGAATGGCTCCTGGAAGATACGCTTTATCGAGGTCTCTCGGCTGAAAAGACGAAGATCGATCGAGTGAATTACTCCTAGTATGATGGACCTCGCCCACTCTACCGTTTTACGCTGATGCTGGCTCGACATTGTTAGTCCCGCCACGAGAAGTCCTCAGGGTAGACGAGTTATCCTCTGAGGCCGGTTTACCGTTGGATTTTCCATAAAAATCCAACTGGCGCCCGACATAATTGAGCGATAGAGAAAGTGCCAAACTAGTTTGGGATCTCTGCTGGTGATGCACCGGCGGAAAATCCCTTACTATATATTATTGCAAATTTTGACATACTCTCAAGGCCAAGTAATTTTCTGAAAAGTTATTCAAATTTAAAGAGAAGCTGTCTGACATATTTTCCATTTAGCAGTTAGAGAGATACTTGTGATATGCTCATTCAGATGAAAAAATTGCACATTGGCTTTGTGAGGGATATATTGTTACGTATAAGACGGTAAACCACAAAATGGAGTGGAATTCCAATTTTTGTTTAATTCACTGATTATTCAATAATATATCAAACGCTATAAGCATCTTTCTAACAGAAAGAATGCAGAAATTCGAAATGAATTTGCGTTAGAAGCATCTAAGTGCCTATTAAGAGATTGGTATTGAAAACCTTTTCAGTGACTTGTCATCCTCCTTCACAACCATCGTAAGGAGTTGTCTCAAAATTGACAAGTCACAAACCATGATAATTAGTTCATTTATGAATGATATCATTTTTCCTGAAGTTAATCGACAATAGTAGATTTTTTATTCATTTATTTATTAATTTTTTTCTTCTTATGATAATGATTCACTGAATCTAATTTTATCTCATGAGATTGTTATGTCCAAATTATTTCCAACCTAAAATCCAACGATTCCAAAATAACCGAAAACCCAAAATAACCAACAGTGAACAAGATTTAGATCACATGAAAAATATCAATAAAAATTAAACTAAGGGCCAAACAATTAAAGCACAAAAGACCAAAATTGTTCCCCCGGATGAAACAAAACCGCCGAGCCCTCACACGCCCCGTTTGGACCATCGCGGGAACCCACCCCCACTACCCTACACGAAATAAATAAATTGCCCCCAAACCAAATTATAAAACCAAAATCCCCGCACCATACAAATACGTCAAAAGTTCCGCCCCACTACGACGAAACTTTTGACCCATCACCCAAAAAGAAATTCCGAACACTGCAAAAGTTATTAACAAATAACTTTAGCAGGGATCCAATTTTTCCCTAACAAAACATTTTTGCTAAAACCCAAAATAATAGTTCTACAGAAAACTTCCCATAACAAGAAACGACCGGGCAACAAAACCAAACAATCCAAGCCCTCACTCAATCCAATCAGATAACAATTACAATTGTTAACAACAAATTCCCCTAAAAATGTTCAACCAACCCCAATAAATAGTAAAACACAATACCAACCCAAAACGATATTTTCAAAAACGCTGCACAACCAGCGCAAGAAAACAAACCGACAATTTTGACATTCCGTCCATAAATAAAAGAGCTAGCTAAATAAACAATAACCAACTAACAATCGATGTGACACCCAAACAACTCGTTACCTAGAAAAACGTCCTCAACAAAAATTATTCAAATCATCCTTCCGGAGACCCTTCCGGCAAGCCAAAACAACCCTCAAAAACAACAACCCCTAAACCACCCCCAATCTGAAAATGAACATAAAACATACTCCAACAACTCTTTTCGGAACAATCGATGTCGAAATTGCCGACAGGCAATTTCAACATCGCGCTAAATTCCCCAGGCTACCTCAAAGTCCAATAAGTTCCAAAACCCGAGGAGTGGAATCAGCGAAAATTCGATCACGTCAACAGGTGTTCCACGTCGAATTTTCGTCATAAACCTCCAAATCACCAACTCCCACCCCATAAAGCCAACGCCTAAATTAAAAACTTAAAAACTACAATCGATAAAAGAAAAACTCAGTCGTGGAAAACCCGGGGAACGAATACGTTCTCCAATCTTCGGTAATTCGGGTCTTTCGGTACCAAGTCGGAAAAAGTCAGTCTTTCGTCGTAGCTCCCAACAGAAATAAGTGAGCTGAATTTCGAGGGTGGTCTCCTGAGCGCTGACGATCGCTACCGAGAGTTGATCGATTTTGGAAATACGGAAATTTGAGTTATCAAAAACCCCTCATCAAAATTAACGAGAATTTTCACATTCTCTTGTATCATAAAAAGAAGAGATACACTCTTTCGGCTTTTAAAATCACGCGTACGAACCAATAAGGCTTTCGCTAATCCAAACGCCTTACGGTATAAGTGTGTGTGTATTTATAAATAATTCGGATCCTTAATTTAAAAACACTGAAGAACATTGTGAACTGAAAAATACTTTATAGAGAGAAATTGTAATAAATATCTGGAACGACATTTCCATCTATTAGGGATTACATCTCCAATAAGCAGAAAACTTGCAAGTAAATCTTAAGTAATAAATTGTTGTAAAATTTGAACTTTGTGATTCGCGGAAAATAAATCAAATTGAACCAACTGCAAATTTCCCCTGATATGGTAAACTTGGATTAACTGGTTAAAACAAACTATTACAGGTGTTACACATTCGAGACATTCGCTTAAATCATTTTAAATATCCCTTCGGAATATAAAATCTGAAACTTCCGGTCCCATTATCTAAGAAGAAAACAAGGTAAGAGTGCAGAATAAACAAATTGTTCATTAACACTCGGGAAAACTCGATAAGAAATATTTTATCGCACTTTATTTTTATTGTTAACCAAGGAGTCCTTGATACCTGATCCATTAGACTTCAATGAATGAATTCAACGAATAAATCAGTCTCTAAACTCAGGATTTTCCCGCCTGAAAAATCCTTCGGGCATAACAAGATATTAATTGTCAATTCGTCATGTTGGTTTTTTTAAAAATGAAACTCTTTTTTATTTACACATACAAATAAATTTTTATGGATGTTGGAAGCACATTTTTAATAGTAAATGTGCAACACTGTATGCGATTATTTATATTAAGTGCAAACAAAATTGGTTGTATTTCTTTTACCTATTATACCATCTGGATGATATGTTAGGATGAATTCCAACTTGATTTAATTGGAATTATCGTCTCACCCATTGAAAAATTCTCGATTACATCTAGGGATGCTTCTTGTCTCTCTGATTGCAAATCCCCGTGTCAGGGTTTGATTCCCACAGATTGGAAACTTCCAAAGTTTCAAAATATTCTATCACTTTGATAAGGTGTTGGGAATTTTTTACGACATTTCATGGTTATTCTCATCTGAGAAATCAGGAAAAACCTGATAAATTTGTGGGTGAGACCAATTTCTCCTCTTTGGAACGGAATCAACAACTTTCCAATGCACTGGTTGTCATTGCCTCCTTCGTACAATCGTCACCAGTCAACAAATTATTATTATGCAGTTTATGCACATAGACTAATTGAATAAGATCTTCAAAACCATAATGGTAATACAAACATTCCGGACATCATTGGCTTCCGGATGAGCCTTTGTCATCTGGCCACATGGGAGGACTGGTGTAAATCAATTCCTAGAGTTCCTGAATGCTCAGCACCCGAGCATCAAGTTCACCATGGAAATTGAGCAGAACGGATGCCTCCCATTTCTGGATGTCTTGGTTCGTCGCAATAAGGATGGCACTATGGGTCATCATGTATATCGCAAGCCGACCCACACAGAAAGGTACCTCGATGCCGCCTCCCATCACCACCCCTCCCAGAAGAACTCTGTCATTAGTTCCCTAATGTACAGAGCTCGTACAATCTCCCAACCGTCCAAAGTCAACAGCGAAGTTGAACATCTAGAGACAGCTCTGACCAAGAATGGATATATCATCCAATAAATCGATAAATCTGTAGCTTTTGCTCGAAAGTTCAAGCAAAAGCTACAGAGCAAGCTCTCATCTCCTCAAGAGGAGATTAACTCTGAAGAAAATGGGGAGAAACCTAAAGTGGCCCTCCTTCCCTATCTGAAAGGCACCACTGAACACATCAGCAGAGTACTCGGCAAACACAATATCCGAACAATCTTCCAACCCCCAAAGAAGTTTGGACAGATGCTGCCGAGTGCGAAAGATCGCAGACCGCCTCTGAGTACACCAGGAGTGTACGAGATCCCCTGCTCATGCGGAAAAGTATACATAGGTGAAACCGGGAGGAAGATCAGTACACGGATCAAGGAACATCAACGGTGTTCCAAATACGGTCACTTACAACAGTCTGCACTTGCTGAACATTGGATGGACACTGAACATAGGATCGAGTACGATCAAGCCAGAATGTTGGCCAAGTCTCAAGGATATTTCGAAAGGAAATGATTTTCGGATTGATCAGCTGATCAATTTAAACATATGATTAGCTGAACCCTCCCCCCCTCTCTTCCCCTACCCCCACCATCACAGGGGAAAGCATAAAAGGACTACCTTCAGACATCGGAGCTGATAATCGGAGCTCACAGCCCTGAAGATGCATACTGCAATGTTTGCGCAATGCTGAAACCAAACGCGGCATCCATCCGGAAGCCAATAATATCATTAATCATGACCGCGAAAGCCTTGAAACTAAGATACAAACACTCTTGTTTGTTTCATTTTTTGAATGATATTGCTGATTTCAGCTGGCGTTAACCTTTGGCGTTAGCCACATTCTCATTGATTTAGCCATGTATTCATCAACGCACTGGTTGTCATTGCCTCCTTCGTGCAATAGTCACCAGCCAAGACGTGCAAACGTGACTCTTTCATCTCGAGTACACCCAGCCGTAAACAAGAAAAATTGGAAAAGTAATTTTTCAACTCGAAAAATTAATTTACCTTTGGAGATTACATCGCACTCGTCGTGCAGAAATTCCTCTAGCTTCGTTATTCCACGTAGGATTTCTCCTTCTGAAAAATCTCCTTTTGTTGTTTTGATATTTACTCATATTTTATGATGAAAAAGTTTATGATAAATCAATTTTGAGTGAATAAAATAACTCTCTATGATGTGTCTCTTTCGAGCACAAAAAACATAATGAAAACGACAGATCTGTGGGGCCGCCACCTCATGGCGCATTTTTTTCGAATTGGTCTCTAAACTTGTGACTCAACCTGCAAAAACAGCGGTACTACCAGTAAATATCAGGATTGTAATCCCAAGAACGAGACTGACACATAATTTCTCACACTGGCCAGATGTCTCGACCTGATCTTTTAACGCGTAGATAGATTTCCAACCTAAGAAGGCTGCGTCTGAAAGAATATTTGATCTAGACTGATCAGCTCAAATAAGGGCCACTAAGGAAGATCCGGCTGAGGAGAACAAGAGATCATTCAAAATTTCCATAATTAATGATCATCTTGACTTTTTTTTTTAATTCTTCCAAGTTTTTCAGCGTAGCGTATACTCAATGCCAATGTTGTACCCATACATTTTAAGGAGCTTATCAGGCGATAACAAACTCTAATGGAATAAATTGTTCCAGATTGCAGATGATGAAATAGACTATTTATTGCGTAAATCGCTATAACGCATATCATCTTTCATAAGGTGTTTCTAGGCAAAACTTGTAAGAGTCATTGATAAACTCAATGTATTCGCAACGTTTTTTGCCTTTTAATATGTAATTTTGCTATTAATACTCAATAGCCAGAAAACAATAAGAAAATATCATCCTGATACCTGAATGCTATGAAGCCTCCGAATCAATAAGATTCATGACCGGCCTCATGACTCTCGTGAAGCTAGAGAACTAGTCGCAATTCCAAATGGGGGGTAGGACAATTGGAAAAATACCACTCATGTAAAAACAAAGGAGCTTTTGATGCTTCACATGTATCGGGGTAGAAAATATACGTCTTTGAAGATAGTTCCATCCGTGAATGTATCACAAAGTATTAGTATTGGACGGGTTTTCATGACCTTCAATTAAGATTATGAGTTCTCATGAATTTGTTCAACCTTTTAAAGTGAAACATTAACCATGTCTAATCATTTGGTTCACGAACAAAAAGTTACAATACGACGTGCTGATCCTGGTAGGATTCTGATAGTAATACAGAGGTTTTAACTACCTCTATGATCACATACCTGTTTATCTGTACCTCAGGATTATCCCCTTCACTTTAGAGGTTTAAATTCTCGAGCAATTACCGATTGGTAAGGGGCAGAATTGAAGAGGCGTTTATGACTCTTCAGCCTCTCCAGAATAAAACTATTAGAACAGTTTAATTTCTAATTGGGAAAGAAATGTTCAAGAATGGCTGCAGAAATTTTTGTCATTACTTCTTGCTCTCCTGAAGTGAGATAACTCTGGAGACACTGACGTCGACCGAGAGTCATTGGGACGATTGAGGAAATGCCTCCGGTTGGACCTGTTGTTCAACCTGAGACATGCAAGGTTTTCGAACCGTTTGTTTTTCCTCTAGGTCTCAAAACAAGCTCTTTTGAATCCAATGAATTTAGATTCTCCTGTAAAGGTGTATAAATATTTAGACCTTGAAACAATTTTAAAAATTTGTTTTAATCTTCTCAAGCTTCACGAAGGAGGTAAAGCCATACAAAAATTAAACTGGAGCTATAGCCCCAAAGGCACTCAAAATTTATTATTTTGACTAGGAGACATTCATGCTCGTCTAAATGAATAAAAGTCATGATGAGTTTGAGATTTTATGTTTCTTGGACCACACAACTTCTGGAAGAGGACTAGATTGTCTAGTTTCTCTTCCTAGAGCAGCCTTCGAGGAGTCGCCCCCGATGCCACTAGGGCTGTGTAATTTGTACCTCAACAAATTTGAGACCAGCCAGAAACTCCAAGGAGCTTACAGATCGCTCTGAAAAGAGATCTCGGCATCATAACCCTTCGACGCCCCAGGAACTCCTATATTCCTGAATCGAGTTCAGGTGGAATATTAATTTGGAGGTTTGGGGCCTTGAATGATGCGTCAGGCGTAGATGCAATAATTGCATTTGTAATTGAAGGCTGGGAGCTTTTCTTTAATGCGTCAGGTGTAGATGTACTTATTATAATAAATAGTAGTAGAAAGCTTGGAGCTTTGGATCAATGCGTCAAGCGCAGATTTAACTATTGAAGTACTAAAACAAGGCTTGGAGCGTTGGGTGAGTGCGACAGGCGCAGATGTGTCCAACACGACAGGATTTGAGCTATTACTCGCACTGTCCTGGATGTCAGGGATGAAAGAACCATCTGGCATATTAGTAACAATCTCAGTTTTAATTTCCTTGTTCTCTATTTTGTCTCTAGGATCAGGAGAACAAGGTAAAATGGGTTAGTCTGTGCGTCGTTCCACAAGGAATGAACTCGCCCTAAATAAGCCTTTGACGTCGATTGGCTCTGTTTCTAGGATCTGACCCGAGCGTCCCAAAAAGGCTGACAGACATGAAAAATCGCTTACCTTTATTTCCAATTGATTATTTATCCAAGGAAATGTCGATAAGCCCATGCACGTAATATTTGCAATTTCATTGTGAATTTCTAAATATTCAATACCATTTATGTGTTTCCTCCTCTTACAATCATCCATGATTATGGAAAAACTGTGTAAAAACGGCGAAAAAGAGAATATTACAACAAAACAAACTGGAAACTCTGAAAAGCGTGCATTCCACTCGCGCACACACGAAAACACACATGATAATATGGCCAGCCGTCACCGACGAGGTGCCACAGCCAACTTTTTCTATGGTCTCTGAAGGCATGTGGCTCAATCTATAGCCGTAGGCGGGGTACTACAAGTTATTCAAATCTCGAAGACGAAGTTCAAATATAATTAGCGTCGGAGGACTATCTTTCTAATTGCTTAGAAAGAAAGCTAAAATTATTAAAATTCAAATTTGTTGGACGACGCAAAGTTTATACTTTTACGTTTTCAAATAATCAATTGCAGCTCGATTTTGACGAAAAATATTCAAGACAAGAGAATTTTATCCAGGAATAGGGTTAAAGTTAGGAATATTTGAGAATCAAGAAATCTAGAGTTGTATTGACAATTCTGTTCAATTTTTATTATAAATTTGAGAACTACAACAACATGAGTCTGCAATTTACAAAAGTTTATATGTAGTAAAGTCGAAATTCCTACCCCTGAAATGATCTGAAGGATCGAAATTTGTTTTTATATCACACATATTGTTACTCATCGTTCAGTCTGATTTTTAAAATTATTTAAAATTATATAGTTAGATCCTTGGATGAATCCGCAATTTCCTCACCAGTAATTAGTCGTGGTAAAGGCTATTATGGATACTTTCACAAATACTCTTTCTTCTACTAGTTTGAAGAATTTAAA